GCCCCTTATAACCTCGGCTGAGAAAATCCCTCCATTTTCTAAATAGACTTTTATTCTGAAACATTTGTCAGAACTTCCTGTGGAAGATACATTAGCTTGACAGTTTACGTATGGCACTTCAAATGTAGCTCCTGCCATCTGCTGGCGTTTTTAGGTGAGTACAACAACATGTCGGCTGGCACATGAACAGACACAGTGACTGAAATAATAGTAAAAGTGATAAAAATAGGACAAGAATAACCTGATGACATCACACACGCCGTGAAAGACGACTGGGGATAATTGGTGAGTACCATCATGTAGCGTGTATCAGGCATAATGCAAGTCCTGAGTCTGAAATATGTCTGTCAGCGAGTCTTACTCCACCTATTGAGACTCCACCATAGACAACGGCAGCATTTCTCCGACCACGTAGCGAGCCACAAGCTCCGTGGCTTCTTTCAGACTGATAGGTTTAACATTATCTCCGTTATTAGTACCAAAGGACAGCCGTTGCTGTTTTGGAACTGAAGGACCAGCGTTCTAAAAGTAACGGAAGTAACTGATGTCTTGTTTGAAAATGTACTTAAGTATTGATTACTCAAACAGCAAACTAACGTGTTAGGTTACTCGTTACTGCAAAAAGTAATTGAAGTACTATAACGCGTTACTTTGTAACCTAGGCTGGATCCCACCATCTTCGAAAATCTCTAAACTGCCTTTCATTTCTAATGTTCCAGAAAAAAATGTTTCAAAGCAGCTGCTTGCTGCTGTGGATAATAACAGCATGTTTGATAAGTTTCAATCTGGTTTCCACCAGTATCACAGGACTGAGACAGCCTTTCTTAAAGTCACCAATGACCTCTTAATGAATGCTGACGCAGGCATGTGCTCAATTCTTTGTGTTTTTTTTTGAGGAGTTTTTCCTTATCCACTGTGAGGGTCCAAAGGACAGAGGGATGTCGTATGCTGTAAAGCCCTGTGAGGCAAATTGTGATTTGTGATATTGGGCTTTATAAATAAAATTGATTAATTGATTGAATTCTTGTGCTGCAAAACTTAAGTGTGGCCTTTGACACAATTAATCATGGCATTCTTTTAGATAGACTGAAGCACTGGGTGGGCGTGTCTGGTACTGATCTAAACTGGTTAGCTTCATACTTGTCAGACAGGAAGTTTTGTGTGTCCCTTAACAGTGTCATGTCATCCATTTCCCATATCAAGTACATTTTGCCTCAAGGGTCAGTCCTTGGTCCTATCTTGCTCTCATTATACATGCCTCCTTTGGGTGATGTCATCCATCGACACGGTGTCTCTTTCCACTGTTATGCAAATGACACTCAGCTGTACCTCCCTGTTAAACCCACTGACCTCAGCATGCTGAGTTCTCTACAGGACTGTCTATATGCTATCAAAATCTGGATATCGTTAAATTTTCTCCAGCTCAATTCTGATAAAAGCAAAATCCTTGTAATTGGGTCACAGCATATCATGAAACAAATACTGCCATCTATTGGTCACCTGTCTCAACACATAATGCCTGTTGCAAGAATCTTGGTGTCAAGTTCGATTGTAATTTATGTTTTGCACATGTCACTAAACTTGCCCAATCATGCTTTCAACCCCCTTAGAAATATTGCTAAAATAAGATCTATTTTAACTTTTACAGATACAGAAACTGTAATACATGCTTCTGTCTCTTCACATCTTGATTATTGCAACAGCCTCTATTCCTGTCTCAATCACAAAACCTTGCAACAACTTCAGACTTTTCAGAACTCAGCCGCAAGGCTTTTAACCAAAACCAAGAAGCACAACCACATCACACCAGTTTTGGCCTCTTTACATTGGCTCCCTGTTTGTTTTAGGATTGACTTAAAAATCATATTAATTACTTTTAAGGCTCTTCATGGCCTGGTTCCAGATTACATTTCAGACCTGTTGGTCCCTTATGAACCTTTAAGTAGTTTGAGATCCTCAGGCACAGGTCTTCTGCTTGTCCCAGAGTCCAGACTGAAGACCAAAGGGGACAGAAGTTTTGCCACCAGGGCCCCGAGGCTCTGGAATGACCTGCCTGAGGATATCAGGCTGCCTGAGTCACTGGCTTCGTTTAAGCCTCTCCTAAAACATACTTCTGTCGGAAAACTTATCCTGACTTTATCTGAGCTGTCTTATTTTATTGCTGTCTTATTAATGTTATTTCCCTTTTATTATCTTGATTTTAGCTTTAGTCTTCCTTATTCTATCTTTCACTAGATGACATTTTGTGACATGCTATTTGTTTTATTGTTCTTGTGTTTTAATTATGTTTAGTTGTATTGTACAGCACTTTGTAACTGTGTTTTGAAAGGTGCAATATTAATAAAGTTTATTTTTATATATTATAACAGAAGCGTTTTCAGTCTGAAGCTGTATAGATTTTCTGTTGTCCTGGCCTAATGTTGGGATTTCGTTGAGCAGTAGCCAGACCTACCTTGTAGTGAGGGAGTAGCAAGCTGACTGGCAGTAGCAGAGCGTAGTAGGCGGGCTGGGGTTTATATTTGAACCATATCCTGAATTAAGACAAGCCTGAGATATTCATAGCATGGGCAGGTACCTATGTGCTACCACCAGGAACCAGTGCAGGGTGCAATTCCTCTCCTCTCCCCTAATTAAAAAGCTATGACAGAATCAGCAGTTACTTAGTGTTGAAAAAGACCAATATACTGGAGGTGCAAATGCAATGGTGGAAATGGTAGTGGTCATGTGCCTTCTGTTCAAGGATTCAGATCAAACACTTCTGAATCAGCTTACTGCACATGGGAATTACTACTTTTATAATGTCCTGTGTGGAGCTGAGTTTGAGAAAATGACCCTGATGATGTCATCAGGGTTATCTTGGTGCGCTCAGTCTGTTGAAATTTCAAACATGATGTCTGCTTTATAATCGGTGATGAGTTTGACAGAACTGGGCATTTTTCCCGGCTAAGAGGGTATAATGAAAGACACTTTTGAGAAATGTAGGATCCAGAGTATTGGGAGCTGGACTCATTATTAGGGAGTGAAAGCCAGATATCTCTGCTTGTGCTGCTTTAATGTTGTCCTTTGTTTTTGAGAATGTATCTTATGAGTACCCCAACTTTATCTTTATCTTTATAGTGCTACACTTAATGTCTGGAGTAGCCCTTTTAAGAGCCGAGAATTTAAATCAAGCAGAGATTCAAAGTCTTACCATGAGATGCTGTGGTTTGTGGCAATGCTCCCCCCTCTGTGTGAAGTTGATTGTACTTGGTAAAAACCAACTTTGAAGTGGACCAGACATTTACTGGACACTTGCAGTGTGTCTCAAATCACATACTTCTATACTAAATACATAATATTTTGAGTGTACAAGTGCGCTAAATGATTTCACACTGCACAGTACAGGAATAAGCAGTGTACTACTGGCAAACTCAAAACGGACCAAAAGTTGAGTGTGTAATGATGGACACTTCTCACCCTCAGTGGTCGCCATCTTCGTGACGTAGCAAACTTCTCAACTTTTGACATGGCGGCCGGGGACAAGGGAACAAGGAGCCTTAGTTAGTTCCACATGTTTTTTACACTACGTAACAATATTGTTGTCTGACAGAAGCCATCAGTAATTCTGGGTCTGTGATGATTTGGTACTGAAAACAATAATGCTAACTTGCTCCTCGCTATGGTAGCACATTTTAATCAGCATTGACGCTGTGGCGTATTTGATTTATGTGTATACCGCCGTCCATTTGCAGTTTGCCATTTAAAAAGGAGATGAAGAAAAAGAAGAGGCGGTAATAAAATTTAAAAAAAAAAAAAAAGCCATTTTCACTTCCTTATTTAAATTATGCAAGAAGTATGTAGTGTACATAGTGTACTACATTAAAGTGTACTAATGGAAGTATGCAGTTTAAGACACACTCTTGGTTACTGAATATGGGATTGGTGTAGCTCTTGAATAATTATTTTGTTAATTTGGTAGACCTCGTGGCTTTACAGAACATCCAAAAATCCCACATCCAGTAAGCCACTATGTGAGTGGGGCTGACATCACGAAATCCAAACAATAAGCAACCGCAAATCTAAAGTCAACAAAGGAGTTTTATTTACAGAGGGTGTCAACGAAAACATTTTCAATTTTCAACAAAACTTGCTCCAGTGAATGGCTCATGACACTGAGGTATGTGTCTGTGCATCTGAGAAATGTTTTTGTTGTTGTATTAGACTGTCTTTCTGTTTTGTTTTGTTTTTGTTGTTTTTTTTCCCATTGTTTTATAAGTCATAGGTTTGGGTGTAGAATGTTTGTTCAAAAGAAAATCAATAGAAATTTAAATTACAAAAAAAACCCAAACCCTCGATTCAGCGGGATATGTATTTTGATATGTGTTTTTTGTATCAGTCTGTATCCCCATTCACAATTCAGAGGTTTGGCTGGTCCATGAATGCAGCACAGGCAGAGCTCTTCTATTTTTCCTCAGCAGCAGTTTGTGGAGTTTTGAGTTGCAGGGTGACTAATTCCATCACTCGATCAGATGCTAGGATACTGGCAAGTAATCTGGATATTTACCTGGCAGGGAAGATACCATGATTAAGAAGGTGGTTTACTCGGGGCAAGGCTCAGCCATTGCACTCCAAATGTGCTGACCCCAGTGAATTCCCCAAATGTGGGAATCTTGACTGCATAATTTCTGGTAGTGGGGAACTGCGTCCCCATACGGACCAAATATGGTGCATGGACTTCTAGCTGGAGAGGTGCCAGTTGGCCTCCTGGGCACCGCCAAGGTGCCCTTGAGCAAGGCACTGAAAAGCAAGGCATATAAAAAAAAAAATTACCGCGTATGAGCCTGAGAAAAGGTTTTGACTGGTTCATAACTTTGTAAGTCAATTTAGGAGGAAAGATGGTGACCATAAATCTGAGGAGTGTTAGCAGCATATGAGGACCTTTTAATGATCAGGCCAGAGAAAAACTTCAAAATGGATGAAATATTGGACTCAGGGTGTAATCCTCTGTCCTATCTCTGTAGGCAGTCGTGGCCCACCAGAGTGGACATGCATCAGGACATAGAGGACAGTTTGGCAGCATCCTCTATCTCCCACGCTGGAGGCCCCCAGTCCCCAGCCCGCAGTGCAGAAAACCTCCTCAATGGACATCGCTCCAAAGGCATGATGGAGCTGGGCCGACGGAATGAAACAACAGTCACCGACTCTCCAGGTCTACCAGCACCGGTATGCCCATCTTCATCACACTCTGTCTGCAGTTTCATCACTGAGAATAGAAAAGGAATGGGTCTCTGTTTGGATGCACTGAATACTTAAAGGAATACTTCACCCATAAAATGACCACATATATATCAGCTAGTCATGTCATGTTACCTTGAAGTCATGAAGATAACATTTTTCTCACACGCCTCTGCTGAATTAATAATCCAAAAATCGCAATTACTATTGATTAATTGAAGTAAATGGGGACCATGTTTAGAAACAGCTGAGCTATATCAAAATGTCAGTGCTGCTCAAACAGTTGCATTTAGGGATGTGCGATAATATCGGCACATCATCAGCATTTGCTGATTTCGGCTTAAATAAAATGAGTCGCCCAACATGTTTTTTCTTATTTTGCACAATGAACGAAAATCACAAAAATTGAAAAACATTGTATTTCATGTCTCCATCTGCTGATCACAGTATGCATAATATGATGTTAATTCCACTACAGAAGTGACTTGGATCACTAAAATGAGGTGGGGAAAAAAGAGGATATATCATTATCAGTATCGGTTATCTGTCAAATGAGTTGTTGTATATTGGCAAATCAGATATTGGCAAAAAATTCAATATCATTCATCCCTAGTTGAATCGCCTTGCCTTCAGCCCTTTCTTTTTGGAACTAAAAGTGAAACCTATCAATGCTTTCACTTCTAGTCGGCTGGGGCTCAGAGGTAGAGCGGGTCATCCACCAATCGGAAGATCAGCAGTTCGATCCCGGGCTCCTCCAGTCTGCAGTATCCCTGAGCAAGATACTGAACCCCAAATTGCTCCCGATGGCTGTTCCATCGGTGTGTGAGTGTGTTAAAAAAACATGAGTAGCAGGTGGTACCTTGTATGGCAGCCTCAGTCACCAGTGTATGAATGTGTGTGTGAATGTGACTCATAGTGTAAAAAGCACTTTGAGTGGTCGAATGACTACAAAGGCGCTATACAAATGCAGGTCCATTCTAGTGACAGTCAGAAAGGACTGAAGGCAAGGCAGTGCAACTGTTTGGGAAGAACTGAGCATATGACTGGAGAAATTAGACTTGGATTATACTGCACAAATTGTGTGAGAGTTTGTACACTGATGTTTAAATATAGCATTGCTGTTGTTACATGTGATCCCTGTTTACTTAAATTGATCAACAATATTTGGCAGTTTTGGATTCTTTGTTAACCGTGGAGCCATGCATGTAAGACAACGTTTTCTTCATGAATTCAGGGTAACATGGCATGACTAACTTATATACAGTGCCCTCCAAAAGTATTGGAACAGTGAGTCCAATTCATTTACTTTTGTTGTAGACTGAAAACATTTGGGTTTGACATCAAAAGATGAATATGAGACAAGAGATCAACATTTCAGCTTTCATTTCCAGGTATTTACATCTGGATCTGATACACAACTTAGAAGATAGCATTATTTGTAATGGAACACAAAATTTTTAGGTGAGCAAAAGTATTGGAACATATAAACTTAAAATAGATTAAAGTGAATGAGACTTAATATTTAGTTGCAAATCCTTTGCTTTCAATAACTGCATCAAGCCTGTGACCCATTGACATCACCAAACTTTTGCATTCTTCTTTTGTGATGCTTTTCCAGGCTTTCACCGCAGCCTCTTTCAGTTGTTGTTTGTTTTGGGGGGTTACTCCCTTCAGTCTCCTCTTCAGCAGGTAAAATGCATGCTCTATTGGGTTTAAGTCTGGAGACTGACTTGGCCAGTCTAAAACCTTCCACTTCTTTCCCCTGATGAACTCCTTTGTTGTTTTGGCAGTGTGTTTTGGGTCGTTATCTTGCTGCATGATGAAGGATCTCCCAATCAGTTTGGCTGCATCTTTCTTTAAATTAGCAGACAAAATGTTTCTGTAGACTTCTGAGTTCATTTTGCTGATGCCATCATGTGTTACATCATCAATGAAGATGAAAGAGCCCGTCCCAGAAGAAGCCATGCAAGCCCAAGCCATGACATTACCTCCACCGTGTTTCACAGATGAGCTTGTATGTTTGGGATCATGAGCAGATCCTTTCTTTCTCCAAACTTTCGCCTTTCCATCACTTTGGAAAAAGTTAATCTTTGTCTCATCAGTCCATAAAACTTTTTCCCAGAATTTTTGAGGCTCATCTCTGTACCTTTTGGCAAATTCCAGCCTGGCCTTTCTATTCTTCTTGCTAATGAGTGGTTTGCATCTTCTGGTGTAGCCTCTGTACTTTTGTTCATGAAGTCTTCTGCGAACAGTAGATTGTGATACCTTCACTCCTGCCCTCTGGAGGTTGTTGCTGATGTCACTAACAGTTGTTTTAAGGTCTTTCTTTACAGCTCTCACAATGTTTCTGTCATCAACTGCTGATGTTTTCCTTGGTCTACCTGTTCGAAGTCTGTTGCTTAGTACACCAGTGGTTTCTTTCTTCTTCAGGACATTCCAAATGGTTGTACTGGCTATGGCCAATGTTTGTGCAATGGCTCTGATTGATTGTCCATCTTCTCTCAGATTCACAATTGCTTCTTTTTCACCCATAGACAGCTCTCTGGTTTTCATGTTGGTTCCACCTCTAAATGCAGTCTGCACAGGCAAAACCTATCGTACCCAATCTGAAACTGAGCTCAGACATTCAGTGCTATTTATTGTTTGAATAATCAATGTAATTGGGAAACACCTGGGCAACAAAACACACCTGTCAGTCACATGTTCCAATACTTTTGCTCTCATGAAAAATGGGTGGGTTCAAACAAAAGGTGCTATCTTCTAAGTTGTGTATCAGATCCAGATGTAAATACCTGGAAATGAAAGCTGAAATGTTGATCTCTTGTCCCATATTCATCTTTTGATGTCAAACCCAAATATTTTCAGTCTACAACAAAAATAAAGGAATTGGCCTCACTGTTCCAATACTTTTGGAGGGCACTGTATATATGTGGTCATTGTGTGGGTGAAGTATTCCTTTGAAATCCTGTTTGAATTTATTCTAATGCATGTGGCCGCTCTTTTTGTATTCCGATCTCACTCCAGGGAGCCTGTGCTGCTGCCTCGGGCCCTGCTCCTGGGTCTGCTTCTGGAACCATCAGGGCCGCACCATCCACCTCAGCAGCAGCCAAGCAGAGAACCTGCCTGTTCAGGTCTGACAAATTTGGATTCAGTTTGCAGTTTCAAGTGGAGTGATGTTATTGTGTGTTGGTTTTTACAAAACATTTACATCCATTACTACTGAATGAAAAAGAAGTTAGTATTTATAAAAAAAATGCATACCCCAGACATTCTGACCCTTTCTCAATCAGACGAAGACCTTATATTAGCAAGCCAAAAACTCTGGTCTCTAGGCCCTTTAGAGAATTTAGTGCTGTCTTTGAGGTGGACTTATGTGCCCCCCATATTACCGTGTAAGAGTACTATATTAATGTAAGTAATCCATGTAAAGAGCGTTACGGAGGTGTAGTGGTTAGCACTGTTGCTTCACAGCAAGATGGTTCAGGGTTTGAACCTGAGAGTCAGCTCAGCTGGGGCCCTCTGTATGGAGTTTGCATGTTCACCCTTAGAATACTCAGAAATTCCCTCGAGACAGCGACAAGGCCAAAAAGATTACAGAGGCCCTGTTATTTAAGGATCAGTGTCAGTGTACTTGAACACTGTGCTACACTGTGCAGTTGTGTTATTAAGGAAAATAGAAATATTGGATCGGGACTCGGTATTGGCGGGTACCTAACATTAAATGACTCGGATTTGAAGCAAAAAAAGTTGATAGAGACTTCCCTTTTAAGAAGTACTTGATCTTAGATGCAGCAGAGTTTGCTGTGCGTGGAGCACACATTTTAAATGTCAATATCTCAGTTAATCATGTTCATTTAATTGTGGGAGGCCAGCATTGTGATCCAGATTAATATATTACAGGAATGTCTCTAGAAGTATTTCACATATTTGTGCATTTCAGTGTATTGTATGAACCTTGAAACATAAGGTTATTGTGTACTGACACTACTGAAGAACCTCCATCCCATCGGCACACCTGCTTTGGCACATAGAGTTTTAGAGAGGCAGGGATTAAGCAGGCGGTGGGCCTGGTGTCAGGTCTGTGCAGAGCACTGGAACAAGAACTCACATCACAGTCTGATAACATCCAAAAACAGGAGTCACTCTCATTAGCTCCTGTGACATGAGAAATACTTTCACACCACATTTCACACCACTCGTCTCCTTTTTTCTCAGGGTGGAGGAGGACGAAGAGGAAGAGGAAGAGCAGGACCCCTCTCCCCTCCCAACCCAGGTGATCCTGAGGCGTAAGCCCCCCTCCATCACTAACCGCCTTACCTCCAGGAAAAGTGCCCCGGTGCTCAACCAGATTTTCGAGGAGGAGGGGGAGTCAGACGATGACTTCGACTTGGATGAGGGCCTGCCGCCCAAACTCAGCCGTCTCAAGATGAACATGGCCGGGAACGCTGCCAACCTGAGCTCGGGGGCAGGCTCCTCTTCATCCCCGGGGACCACGCAAAAGCGCTATCACCGACGCAAGAGCCAGGGAAGGGGGTCATCGTGTTCGAGCTCTGAGACCAGTGATGACGACTCAGAAAGCCACCGTAGGCGTCTGGATAAAGACTCAGGCTTCAGTTATGGCTGGAACAGAAGGGACAGCAGCGAGGGGCCACCTGGCAGCTCAGGGGGCAATGGAGGAGGCAGCAGCTCAGGGCAAAGTAAACCTCCAGGAGAGGGAGGCGGAACCTCTGGTCCCGACAGGGGGAGTCCTCCTGGAGGGGGTGGTAATGGAGGAGGAGGGCATGGCGGCAGTGGAGGGGGGAGTGGGGATGGAGGAGGGGGTAATAAAGGACAAGACAGCCCCTCCAGTTGTTGTAACAACAGTAGCACTACTCACCCCTCCCTCAGCTCTGTGTCACGCTCGTCCCGCACGGCGAGCCGCAGCACTGAGCTGATGGAAAGCCTGAAGCTGATGAGTCTGTGCCTCAGCTCCCAGCTGCAGCACCACCGCGGGGGTCGGGGAGGGCGAGGAGGAGGGGGTGGCAAGTTCATCATAGACCCTGGCACCCTCTCAGGAGGGAGCGTGAAAGTCCAGGAGAAATCAGCCTGGAGGATGTGCATTGGCTCCACTGGGAGCGTGGACACCGTCACCCTCCCCACCACCACTGCCCTGCCTCGCACCTACACCGCCCACCGCAAAACAGCGCCACATAGCCCCCCGGGCCTGCCAGGTGGCAGGGTTGCTCACAGCAACCTGAGCGCCTTGAAAAACGGTGTGCTTCAACTACCTCTGTGTGAGAAGACCATCTCTGTGAACATCCAGCGGGGTGGGGGCTCCAGGGACGGCCTGCTCTGTACCTCAGCTCCAGCCAGCTGCTGCCAGGTCATCTGAAGCTGTGCCTCTCAGTCCCCCTACATGTTGGGCTAGTTTAAACACAACCTATTGTGTTAAGCTGGAGCAGATAGCTGAGCTCACATCAGCTCACTATCAACACATCTGCCTTCTGCTGCTGTCGTCACTTTGTTGATTTTAACATTTAGGAGTGTTTCTTTTGATCCCTGTTTTGTGTCCCCCTAATGCCCTCCAGAGAAATGGAACTGATATGTTGTTACAATCTTAAAGGGATAGTTGGGCTTCTTTTCAAATGGGGTTGTATGAGGTACTTATCGATAGTCAGTGTATTACCTACAGTAGATGTCAGTTGGCAAGCTCCCAGTTCGCAGAAGCAGTCGGAGGCTCAGCTATGTACTGCTTTGGATGGTGGTCAGCGGCAAAACATATTTTAGTCACTTAAGAAAAGACATACCTACAAACATTATCAGTCTAACAGGATGATACATTGAGAATATTGTCACTGCTTTAACTTGCCTTTACCTCGCCGTCAGACAGCCCTTTACTTTGGCACTATTTTCTCTAAGCCGTAGAACTTCTGTATTCTTACCTAAAAGCCAAGCTGTGCCACTCTCTGTATTGCACTGCAGGTCAGTTGTTGGGGCCAGAAAGTGCTGCTGCATGATCAGACTAAAACCAAACTTTTTCTGGGCTGTTCAAATAGAAATTAAAACAGCTGTATTTAATTCCACTGAATATAGACCTCAAAACTCCACCTGCAAACTGAGACAACTGGCCATTTAGAGTTAACATTTCTCTCAAAAGGATTATGTGAAACCACCACCCAATAAGCTAGAGAGAAAGAAGAAAACTGCTGTACCCAACTATTTGGTAAAATTAGGGCTAATACCTACAAGTAATGATCCTTCCCAAAGTTCATCTACAGAAACCTTATTACTTCTTTTTCTTCCTCAAGATAGTCAAGTTTGATCGTCTTTTCAGCGCTTTGTCAGTCACTTCTTTTACTATAGTGAGGGTAAAATGGAGCATGAGATGGATAGGCTGTTTGGTGCAGAGTCTGTTGTGATGCGGGCACTGTGCCGGACTGTTGTGGTGGAGAGGGAGCTGAGCCAGAAGGCAAAGCTTCTAATTTACCGGTCCATCTACGTCCCAGTCCTCACCTATGGTCATGAGCTTTAGGTAGTGACAGAAAGAATTAGATTGCTGATATAAGCGGCTGAAGAGTTTCCTCCATACGGTAGCTGGGCTCAGCCTTAGAAATAGGGTGAGGAGCTCAGACATCTGGAGGGAGCTCGGAGTAGAGCCGCTGCTCCTTCGCATTGAAAGGGGCCAGCTAGGGTGGTACGGCCCACTGGTAGGAGGCTCAGAACACGTTGGAAGAATTATATTTCTCATCTGGCCTGGAAACAGATCCTAACCAAGTCCAGGTAGCAGTAGCCCTCTGGGTCTGTGAGCATGAGTTTACAGTTTCAAAAGTTAGTTTCTACTCTTTCTGGCCCTCCGGTTTCCATACAAGTTTCCCCCTCTCTCTTTTTCAGCCTGTACAGTTTCCTTCCACAAAATTTCTTCTTCTATATACTGTGGTTCACAAAGGTATCCTTTTGTCTCCACAGTGAACAGCATTTTATCAGCATTGTCATAATCACTCTGTTTGTTATTTTTTTGTATTTGTTGTCTCTTCCATAATCCACTAAAAGCCTGACCCAAACAGCTGACCTGCAGCACAACATGGAGAGCAGCACAGTTAGGCTTTTGGATAAGAATACAGAAGTTGTACAACTGAGAAAATGTACTGCCAGTGGAAAGGGCTTTCTGATGGCGAGGTAAAGCGGTGAAAATATTCTCAATATAGTGTTCACTTAGACTGATAATGATTTTGTTAGATTTATTTATTTATTTTGATTGAAATATGTTTTGTTGCTGCCCCCTGTCTACAGCAGTACATTGCTGAGCCTACATGGTGGTACTCTGGGAGCGTTTCAGCTAACATGTAAGTTAGTAATAGTATGTAATGCACTGACTATGGATAAGTATGTCATACACCCCCATTCCAAAAAAAATCCAAGCTATCCATTTAAGAACAGTATGCTGGTTTTAGATCACAGTAAAATGAGGAAGGTTTGATGCTAACTGGTTGTGGGATGGAAAACACAATGGCAGAAAAGCACTTTCTTTAGATTTATTGTGAAGGGAAAAATGCCAGCAAAAAAGTCAAAATATGGAGACAATTTTTTATTTATGTTATGAGCATAAAGTCAATTCTTTAAAAAAAAAAAGGTCAATATGAGAACAAAAAAAGTAATTTAGGAGACAAGTCATAATCATTTAAGAATGAAGTTGTCATTTTACGGAACATTTTTAATATTTAGAGATAGTCATTATATAAAAAGTCATTTTGAAGCTAAGTTGTAATTTCAAAAAAAAAATTGTAATAATTTGAGATAAAGAGGGAGAAGTCACAATGCTTCATGAGTAAATTTGATCAGGAAATCTACATTTTTCCTCTAAACTTATTTTCAGGTTCTGACTTAATTTCATGAAAGGGGGGGGGGGGGTTTCTATTTCTTTCATTTACAATTTCAACTTTATTCTCAAAACACAACAATCAAAATATTCTATTTTTATTTTTAATATGTGGGATTATTTTCTTGGAACAGCAGCCCTTATACTCTGTAGTTGTAGTGCACAGTGGTCAGGCTGTTCTCATGCACTGTTGGTTGGTACCAGTAGTTACAGGAACTATTGAAATAGTTGCAGTGCTGCACTGTAGCAGGCAGCTGACTCTCCATGCTAATAAACAAACACTCCTTCACACCTTCCTTCCTTCCCCTCTGAATGTTAGCTATCTGTGGGTCTATAACATGAATTACATTTTTATAAACCCATGCAGGAACCTCTGTTTTACCTGAAGAGAAAAGGTTTTAATTTTGACTCCATATTGCACTCAGACAATCTGTTTTAACTTGTTTTTGAAATGATTTCTACTAGAATGAGTTCATATGATCTGTCAGAACCCCGTTATATGTGGACAGTGGCTCTTTCTAGAGGTAAGAGTTTTACTTTAATAAATGAGACATCAAAAGAAAAGCTGGTGGTTAATCGAAGTGGGTGTGTGCACTCCTCTGTAGCAAGATGATGAAATGTTACTGCTGACCATATATTTTAAATGAAGTATTGCTATTGTTTTATCCATATTTTAATGTGTTGCTGGTAGAGAACATAAGTTGTGTCTGGCTCAAGTAGTGTGTCCTGATTTGATCTCTGCTGACTTCTTTCAGTACCACCTGCACCCATGTCTCCTGCAGCTGACTGTACATGTGGGTGCAGTGTGTCGACTGGTGTATATATAGTATGTTGAAAAGTAAAGTTTATTTTTAAAATGTGTACATTTTGTGGAGCGATGTGCTGTTGATGACAGGAGCCTGTGTGAAGTGTCACTGGTTAGAATAAGTGTGTGTGGTGCAGGTTAACCAGTAGGAGTTCACCTGTGCTTTAAAAGGGGCTGGCCAACAGATGAAAGACAGGGAAGATGAAATGGGAAAATTCTTTAAGGGCATTGGCAATAAGCTATCTGGTGTGTTGCAGCTATTTGTACAGAAATGTTTTCATTAGTTAATTTTTTTTAAATTCCAAACTTGTGCACCCTCACAGCAGCTGACTAAACAGAAACACAGGAAAGCTATGTTTGAAATATTTCTTTGTCTCTTTGGTTGTTGTCTGAGTTTTCTTTTTCAGAGTAGATGTAAATAGGGTTGTAAATATGGTGCTCTTTCTCTTTATCTAGAACAACAGAGTGAACCCTTTGGTGCATAGTTGTACAGTAATCTAGCCTTATGATAATTAGTAATACTGTATGGGTGTCTCAGCTAAAAGTAAAGCCTATTCATACTGTCAGGTCTGTTTGACTGTTGTCTTACTCAGTTGTATCCAGGTGAATGATGTGCATGTGTTTCAGTGTTTAACATTCAATGACACACAGAGAGAATCAGCCACAGAAATGTTACTGGACCAAAAAGCAGCAGCAGCAGAAGAAGAAAAGGGGGCAAAAAGAAAAAAAAAGAGTTAGAACTGACAGAAATATTCAATGTATTATTCTGTAGTTGATATCAGTTGTCAGAAGTTACATATAGCTATGGTAATATCCAAAAATAAAATGTGAAATACAGTCTTGTGTTGTATCTGGGTTTTTGTTTGATTTTTCTCAAACTGGCTGAGACCGGTGTTCTTCCAGTGCTGAAATTATTCTTCATTACTCATGACATATTCCCACTTCATAAAGTTGATATAGCAACATGTTACCAAAAAAAAAACCTTATTTACACAGCCAGCATTTACAGAGCGACATTATCAGTAAGTAGAAGTCTTTGTTTCCACTTGATAAATGTAATTTCAATCAGGGGTGATATGGCAAAAAAAACTATTTCAGGGTATTTTTACAATCATGATATTCTTTACAAATAAGTAAAAAGCATATTTTATTTTAATTTAAGAACAAAGAATTGCAACAAAGTAAGTTTACATTATCAAACGTTGTGTGCATGGCAAGAGGAGAGAGGGAGAGATGCTGTGCTGCTGCCAGAGGAGCCGCTGAATTCCCTCTGAGCAGTAAATTGCTTAAAGAGTCTGAGTAGTCTGTTTTTGATCAACCCTGAGGAAAATGTGTGTTTTTAGCTGCTAAATGCTCCTCTGTGTTCATCAGCTAGGACCTAATTCCTAATGTCCACTGCATGTACAGCTTGACTCAATTTCATTTTTCCTCTGCGGATAGTACCCCTTCGGGGTAGGTGAGATTCTCAGCTGATCATTGTAGCGACGCTGCATGAAACTGCCCTGACATCATCTGCAAGGTGACACACAGTTATCCTCTAAGTTACTCTATTCCTCCCTCCAAAGCAGTAAGCCATGTGTCTGCTGCTCAAGTTAGATCATTTTCCTCTGTCCTTTTTGTGAAGGCCAGTGTGCATCAATATAAACATGAGTCATGGCAAATTGTATTTGAATCGTGCTCATATTGGCTCAAACAGTGTTCGGGAAAAAAGAGTTACATGTAATTAAATGACTACATAAATGTAATTGTAATCAATTACAGGTGCTAAGAAAAAAATGTAATTAAATGAGTAATCAAAATGTTGGTGATTGAAAAGGGGTTACATCCAATATGTTTTGTTCATATATATAGAATAAAACAACCAATAAAGCATCTATTCTGCTTTGCATCTTTTTGCCATGCAGGAATGCTTTCTTTTGGCAGAGCCTATTTCGGGATCTGTTTCTACCTTATTTCCCCAGTTTGAAACATTTATCAGAAGAAGTGATCAAAAAGCAATCAAATGTAATACATTGCATCACTTTGATAAAGTTAAGTAGTCAAAATACTTATTTCATTTTTAATAGGTGTCGGGGACTGGAGGGTGTGCTCCAGTTATTGGGGTGTCACACTGTTCAGCCCCCTTAGGAAAGTTCAGTCCAGAATGCTGGAAAGGGGGCTGCGACTCATTGTCTAACCTTGGATTCAGGAGGAGCAATGCAGCTTCCATCCTGGCCATGGAACAGCAAGAGCAAGAGGCAAACAGGAAATAGGAAAAACATGTTTTGAGTAAATTTTGTCTCATTACTTTGTCCTAAGAAAGACTCCTGAGCTGTAACCTCTTCGACATTACTTGTGATCAAGAAGCTAGTCAACTTTTACACTTTCCATGCCTAATATTTTTAGACATCTTTTTTAAAGGTATCTTTGTCATATTTTTTATTCTAACTTTTCTGTTCTGTTCTTGAGTGTTGCAGTAGGCCTACTTTTCCTTATGTTTTAGTCTTCTTTTTGTGGGTTTAATGCATGCACAAAAAAAAGCAAATTCCTTGTAAGTGAAAACCTACTTGGTAATAAAACATATTCTAAATTGAATATTTTATCCATTTTAAATTGGTTTTAAACTTAGTTTGATGTTATTATACAGCCAAACTAAGAGGAATCCCTGCTGTCTAAACCAAGGGTCTGTAGGGGGGTCTTGAACCATAGTTTGAGAATTTGAAACTGATTTTGTAATAACTGACTACATTGTCAATAGACTTTTTTACTAAAGTTTCAACATATCTGCTACATAATAACATGCAAATGTAACGTATGCAGTTTGCAAAAACATGCAATGCCAACATTTTTTATTTTTGGCTATTGGGTTGGATTCAAGCAGCAAACCATACTAGACTATACTCTTGCTTTGGCTAATAGATGGCTCCTATCTAACCCGGTCTCAGTCCGAGGTCATCAAATACCAGCGCTTGGTCAGTGACCTCCGGTGTCAGACAAAAAAAAGCCCTCCTTTCACGTTGAGATGATACACGGCCAGTCGCTGTTATTGCGTAAATTAAAGGGGTGAAAGTTAAGGGGATAAAAGTCCGAGTAGGGCAGGTGGGAGGGGTGGCGGATGGGTCCAACAATCACCAACTTTTACCTATATGAATGTAAAACCAAACCCTGTTCTTTTTTTGCCGAAACATAACCACATGCATTTGTTGTTGAAGGTAAAAAATGTTTGCAGTGTTGTACCGATGTAGTGCGTTTATTTTGAAAGAGACTGTATCCAAACTGTATATTTCCTGTGAGAATGGAAGTGTATTTTGAAAACAGACAATGCATTTAACAGGCTGAAGTTGACACGCCATCAAAGAATGTCAAATACCAACACACCCAGGGTACCTTGCACGTCATATGTAGACGTGGAAACTACATGACCAAACTTCGATATGTTACAAGGTTGTAGTGAGAATGTGTTGTCCAATCAGTAGTGATGCATTTCATCTTCCTGTCCTATTTTCTTATACACAACTTTATTAACCTAGAGATACATAAACACCTCTCTGTGGACCATGCTCACATGTGCGCGCTTGCGTGCGAGACCAGCAAAAGCACGTGAACACACCTGAAGGCGATGCCCATGTCTCACGGTCTCATGCAAGCGCGCGCACGTGAACGCACTGTACAGAGAGGCAGTTAGAGCTACAGGCTACAATGAGGCTAAAAACAGAGTTCATATGACATTTTTCCAAACAACTTTTTATGTCGGGGCTTCAGGACACTTGGATCACTACAGACGAGCAGTATGGAGATACTTTGTGGTTTCAATTATGTGTTTTTGGATGTATTAATCTGGGGTGCCATCAGCCATTAGGTGTGCAGTTGTGCTGCTACCCACTCCCCCCTTAGATCTCCGCAAGTGTTGTGAGGACTCTGAAACTTCACCAGAGCCTCCTTCGGCATATGGGTGAGTAGATAATGGCTGAATTCAAATAGGATGAAGTGAGAAATTTGGGAGTGACTATTCCAAACAACCTGGATAATCTATATCATTGCAACTACGGGTAATTAGAAAAGTCAATAAAACAAGACATACATAGGTGGAAATATCTACCTTTAACACTACTGGAAAAAATTAGTTCATTGAAAATGAATGTTTTACCACGTTTTCTATTTTTGTTCCAGAATCTACCTTTGCATTTTACACGGGCTTCTTTCAAATACTTGGAGAACTTGTTGAGAAACAGTATGGGATGGAAAGCGACCAAGAGTGAAGCTAACAATTGTACAGCAAAAAAGAAATGAAGGGGGACTTGCCCTACCCAGACTATTTTTACACTGCACAAGCAAAATCAATTCTAATCATGATTAATAAAGAAAATTACCCCCAAATAGAAAACACTGGAGAGTAAATTGGTGGGATCATTACACACACTGACTTCTTCAAGTCAGATGAAAGTAAATTACTTCACACTTAAAAATACAGTCAAGACCTGGAGAAGAAAGTAGGAATGGGAGGCGGATGGAAGTAAATTGCTGCCCGAGTCAACGCCTAAGTTTGAATGCACTAGTCCATTCATTTAACATCTAACCACACTTAATTAAAATCATAGCATACAGGTGAAAAAGTGGTGGAGTGGTTTTGAATAAAATCTGATTTTCATGTAGGTGCAATATCACAGGGGAAAAGCACACTTGGAAGCTGCTTTAAATGAAATATAAAAACATCATTCAAACAGGTAAGGCATATTTTACTTGGTCATGATTGTACCTTTCTTTAGTTTTATTCATATTTGATTTATTAAAGAAAGTAGCTTAAATAACCTGTCATTCAGTGGCTATTTCATCATGTAGCTACTGTAGGTCACTAGTAATTTAAACCTCCCAAAAAATACTGCTTCAACTTTTATGTCTTCTTGCCTAATATCCTGCTTAGTAACATTTGAGTTCTACTCAGGCAACAGAAAGAAGGCAGAAGCTCACAAAACATCACCAATATCATATGAAGAGCTACCGTTTGCAAAAAAAGGTAGCACGATGCACAACATTTGCTCTGATGAGAGCGCATGTCCACAGTGTGTCAGATTTGATGTGTGTGGGAAAATTGGGGAATGACAGCACATCTAAACGGGGTCTGAAGATCCTCTCCTGGTGTAAAGCAAAGCGAATTAATTCTGCCTCGATATCGATCTTATTTCCTACATACAGAAAACCCATGTCTGTCTGACAACTTGCTTCAGGCTTGGCAGAAGGAGACAGGGTGAACTCAGCGTTTCTTACAGAAAACCTGCCAGCGAACAGGTTGATTCACAGAGTCAGTTGCCATGGTGATTGACTCAGAGTTTGACTTTCTCTGTCTGGAACTGAAAACCCAGAGTTTCCCTCATTTCAGGGTTAACATACACAGAGTTTTCACTAAAGCTGCTTTCTGGAATGACTTCTGTTGTGATCTAGCGCTACAGAAAAAATAACATTAAATAAAATTAACTTGATCTTCAAGGGGGGCAGGGCGCCCCCCTAATATAATGGTAGGGGGAACACTGCATTACATTACATCAATAACAATAGTACTGAAAAACTAAATCTTATCATATGCTTTCATTGCCTCAACCTAACCATGGACTCTTGTTGCCTAAACCTGAGGAAGTAAACCCAAAAAACAAAGAGTTTTACCAACGTTGTAAGATTGATGAGCAGAAACTGGGAAAACAGAGTTATGTTTTGAAAAGACACAACCCGTGGGACAAGTATAAATTGAAATACCATCCTTAAAAGTCTAAAACTCACGCAGGAGGGTACCTAGTGCGTCATGTTTCAATGTGTAGGGCCAGTGACCAGGGGTTGGTATTTGACAAGTTGCGATAAGAACATGTTGGTTTTATATGCTTTGAGAAGACAAGGCAAGTACTTTTTTGAAATTATCACACCATGTGCTGAATTTCTTACATTAACAAACTTTTTTTTTTTTGCTTGGTTTACAATTTAATAATTTTCTCATAATGTAACATTACATTATACACAAAACCGTTACTATGTTCTGCACCAATGGTTCTCTTACAGCTGATTATTACATGATCAACTTTTATGACGTTTAAATTACTACATTATTCACTGTGAATGTGTGTGTGAATGGGTGAATGTGGCATGTAGTGCAGAAGCGCTTTGAGGGCCAGAAGTCTATAAATGGGGTATACAATTGCAATTCCTTTTTCCAATGTTTCAGACCTCTAGTGCTAAACTCCAGTAACACTGTAAACACACAGTACAGCTCGACACACATTTTAGTTCCTTCTTTAGAACTTTAGCCTGTAAGGTTTCAATGTTCTTTATTCTTCACAACAATTTTAATACATTAGGTCTTGTAAATACCAGAGGACTGTGTGTAAAGCATATTCAGATAGGCATTACAGTTCAAGGCACCAGGGATGGTTGACTTAAGTCATATTCATGTACACTGGAAGAAACAGACTGATATTATTACTGACTAATTACACTCTAGTCACATCACATGCTCAGCATTTGTCATTAACTCTTGTCTAAAACAAACAAAACAGACACTCCTTTTTTCTTAAGTCTTGTAAGCCACTGAATACCTAATTGTGATTAATGTTAAAATCAAATACCGCATTTATGGTGTTAAACATTTTATTTTGAGAAACATCGTATCTGAATTTATGTGCTTTTAATTCCCAAAAGGAAATTTCAAGTTTTGCTATGTCAAGCACTTGGCTACACAAATCCAGATAAAAAACTCCGCTGTCCAACATCTTTCTGAATTACATGATTAACAGACTGTAACCTGATAGGACAGTTTCATGCTTGATAGCATTTTCTTGGTAGCCCCAGTGTTAAAGTTTAAATTTTTAATCTTGAACTTTGATTTTAGTAATTATTTAAAAAAATGGAATGAAATGTATATACTAGAAAATGAACAACAAAGTCTTAGTGACATGAATATAGCTTTTTATTTCCATTGGATAACTGAATTTTGCACTGCTTAAATTACGTCATGAAAATTTTGAAGAGTGGAATTCAGACACATAAATGCAGATAGTTGGCTTCAAAGTCCAGTATTTGATACCACTTTTCACAATTAGGTGTTCAGTTACTTGGAGTGTAGAACTCAAAATGATTTCTAATCACAAGCAGCTTTAATAGCGAAATACAGTCAGCATCAGTCATCCATTTAGATGGAGGCTTTGGTACAGTATAGTACGTCATAATACAGCATTCTTCTGTGATTTTAACATCTTTTTAAAACACCATTTATCTCATGTATCCACCACCCCAACATAAAACCTCATTACAGTACATCTGTAGAGACCAGCGTGATTGGCTGGTACACAGCTGTGTATCTGAAATAGTAGTAAACCACTGTTAACAGCCCATTTAGTAATGCTGAGAAGATATTGCAGGTGAGCAGCACACCCCTGTGTAAAGGTCAACCACAAAAAGTCCCAAGTGGTTTGGTCTGAATACATACATGTGAATACGTGTTTGCATAAACAACAGTGTGAAGCGGCTGCTGGCGGTCCATCATTGCCTGTAGGTCCGCCTCTCCTCTTCACTGGGTGTTCTTAACGAGCTCCGAGGCTTCAAGCATTTTCTGAAACACAGCAACAGCGTCATGTGGATTTGTTTACATACAGAAAGGTGCAGAGTGTGTGTGTGTGTGTGTGTGTGTGTGTGTGTGTGTGTGTGTGTGTGCGTGCGTGCGTGCGTGCGCGCGCATTTTGTCAAGGTGTTATCAATTTCATAGGAAGTGAGAGGAGCTGGCATCAATCCGGCTTTGCTTTGAGGGGTGGACACACACACACACACACACACATACACATCCCCCTCAATATTTATAGTAGCACAAGTGCATTGCCTCCCTCCTCCACCCAATAATAACATAACAGTACTGGATTTATTTTTTTAAAAAAACTACTAGTACATAACTCCTGGACATAATAATGCCTCCAGTAAATAGTATGCATCCTCAACAGCAATGGTTCCAGTCTGCCATGAAACAGAAAGAAAAAGCCGTGATGTTGACATGTTGTTTTTGGACAGATAGAGCAAGAGAGCTGGCCGCTGTTGCAGGAGGAGTCCTGGGGGGAGGACTGGAGTAAACGCAGCAGAAGACATGACTGAGTATTAAAATATCCACTCTAACCTTGTAAATTATGACTTGTTTTCTCATAACATTATGACTTTATTGTCAAAATGTCAGAGAACAAAGATATGTGGGATATGCTTTCAATGTGCAGAAAGTTTTGAACATGAGCAGAAATTTTGCCGAAACACTTATATGCTTAGGTTAATTATTAAAATAAATTAATGTATCATGGACGAGAACATGTGCCACATACACATTTAAAGAGGCAACCTTCTCAAACCAAAGGCACAAAAGAGGACGGAGGATTAAATCATGCCTACGTGTGGCTGCGTAACTCACCAGTGATTACATTAAATGAGAAATGTTGAGACAATTTTTTTTTCCTTTTCATAAATTTTTGCCATAACTTGATCCAGAAAAATTCATCAGAATGCAGAAAATGAAGTGTTAATGACATTAAGTTCTGAGCACAGTTGTGAAAATAGTATTACATCTGAGTAGAAGGCTGGAGGGTCTGGACAGTGTCTGTCTGTCTGTCTGTCTGTCTGTCTGTCTGTCTGTCAGGGACTCCGCACAAGCTTTCTGGATCATACGCAGACATATAGGAATGGTGTGCGAGAACTGTCTGTAGTGCTCTACTGACAGCACACAACTCAGCGAGGCTCATCAGGAGCAGGGGAGTGGAGTTGGAGTTACACTGTAAGCAAAAACCTGATCCTGAAACACAGATCTGATCTATACACAGCTGTCCAAACACCAGAAATTGGTCTGCTGGGATTTTTCCACAACATTAAGACAGTCTGTGTGTATAACTAAGGATAGAAATGGACATGTACCAGACAAACAGTATGCACTGATGTTTCCTCATATTTCCTGGTTGCTCCTTAATAACTCTCAGTCCATGACTCTGAATAAGCCCCTTTCCCTTCGATGCTGATCTTGGCAGAGTTACTTTTCAATCAGTTAATTCCTTCATGCTTCTGGCAAGATGTAAGGCAGTCAATTTCTGTCCCACAGACTGGTACATGGGAGGGTCGGGGATAGGGGGTGGGGTGGGATAGAATTGTGCTGAGGCAGCCGTTTCACTTCAGAGCTGCTTCAGAGGGGTTAAACACAAACTGAATCTCCAAGGAACATAAAGGGGCAAATAAATGCTTCCAGAAGCAGACAGGAAAACTGTATCCCTCCTGCAGAAGAGAATCCTGAGAATTCATGTGTTTTAATTAACAGGATGCCTTCCACCATAAATTTGTACTCTCTCTTCAGTGATTTTTGCCAGATAAATTTGCAAATAAAGGCAGGAATAGGGGTGGACTTTAACTGATCTAGCTGGATCAATCAATCGATCGATCGATCGATCGATCGGTCGGTCGGTCGATCAATCAATTTTAGTTGTCACATGAGGCCCGTTTCCACCGCAGGAACTTCGTCGTAATTTTACGGGGCCAGGGCCGTTGGTGCGTGTTTCCACCGCAGGAACCACCCCCGAAGGACAGAGTTCCAGAATTTTTACAGGGGCTAAACAAGTCCCTGCCTCGGAGTAGGTACTCGGAACAGCCCCAAAAAACAACTGGGTGGGGCTTGGGGTTTACTTGGTGCTGACTGGAAATACTCAAGGCGGGATGTGACGTCAACAGAAAGTGACAAAATAGCTGGCATTTTTTTTTGCCACATCGCCCCGGTCAAAATGGTCGCGCAACGATTACGTTACATCCAGAGCCCGGTAACTTTACAGGAACCTTCCTCCTACTCCGCTCTCTCAGAGGAGACACGGCGGTTGACAGGGCCGAGTGAGAGGACGTTCCTGTAAAGTTCCTGCCCCCCAAATAGTACCAGGAACTTCTTCAGTGGAAACGGGCCTATGTAATCATATAAGGTACAATTACAGTGGAATGTAATGCCACCAGTTTCTTCAATTTGTGCATTAAAAGCACTTTAAATATTATAGGAATAGTAATAAACATATGATTGAAAGGAGGGCAGTATTAGACCATGTCTTCATTTAATATCCTTGTGACCTAAAGGTAGAAGCTCTTCCTAAGCCTCTCAGTGCTGGCCTGACGTATCCAGTAACTTCCTCCCAGCTCTGCAGGGTGAAAAGACTTTTACCTGGGGGGTTGGGATCCTTAATGATTCTCCTGGCCTTTTTCTTGCTTGAATATCTTGCTGGACCTGCGCCCTTTTTAGAGTTGTCCACGGTGAGAGGTGCTGGGTTTGTGTGGGAGTACTCATGAGCCTTCAGCTCAGTGACACTATGTTGGTGTTCTTCCAAAGGAACTAGGGGATCACTTAAATGCAATTGCAAGTCACTGTGAGGAGGTCTCTGACTGTTAATGCTTAATGCACCAAACAGTTCAGCACACCAAGCCTTCTTGGAGTCTCTGGGGGGTGTCCTGGAAAGGGTACCCATCGGGGAGCCTATAGTTCTGTTGAGGGACTTCAATGCTCATGTGAGCAATGGGTGAGAAACCTAGAGTGAGGTGACTGGGAGGAATGACCTGCCTGATCTGGATCTTTGTTTTGTTTTGTTATTGGATTCTGTGCTAGTCATGGATTGGCCATAACAAAAACCATGTTTAAGCATAGAGTGATTCATATTATACAGTAACAGAACATCCAAGGCCAAAATTTGGGGTTATATCATCAGATTTGCAGCCACTCAAGTGAAGAGAAGAGTAGAGCTGTCAACTGATCACCACCTGGTGGTGAGTTGGATCAGTTGGTGGGGGAAGTTGTGTGACTGACCTGGTAAACCCAAATGTGTAGTGAGGGTGAACTGGGAACATTTGGCTAGGCCTGTAAGTGAGGTCTTCAACTCCCAACTCTAGAAGAATTTTTCATGTATCCCAGAGGAGGCCGGGGACACGCAATCTGAATAGGCCATGTTCAAATGGAGGCAGATCCTAAAGATTGTGGTGCAAAGGTCATTAGCGCCTGCCATGGTAGCAACCTAAGAACCTGCTGGTAGACACCAGTAATGAAAGAGGCCATCAGGCTACAAAAGGAGGCCTTTCGGGCTTTGTTGGCCCAGGGGTTTGCTGAAGCACCAGACGGGTACCAGTTGGCCAGAGGAGCTGTGCAGGACTCTAGTGCACACACGTGTCAAATGTACGTGTAATTACCCATCACAATCTGTGCTGTAGTCCTGGAGCTGTATGAGTATTGAGGGACAGTGTTCTTCTGTGTGTGTATCTGCAAGTAAGTAAATAAGTATCCAAGTGTGCTATGTAGGTATGAAGTGTACAGAGAGAATGGTGTGAATGTGCTGCTTGACAGAGGCTTCTGAGCTTTGGATGGATTGTTCCTTAAACACTTAAACACAAATTCTCACATTATCTGTAACAGTAAACAGTTCATCCATTCTGTTAATAGTTGCCACTTATTTTTCTGTCCATCAGCTAATCAGTAAGTCCAAAAGTTGTTTCAGCTCTACATACTTGCCCTCACAACACTGGCTAAAGTTAACTTTATTTGTCCAGCCCAATATTAAGTACAATTCCCACAACACCAATCCAGACCCAGCCCAGGCACACTTACAGGCCATTTCCACTGTGGGAACGTAATGAAGGGGAAAAGTTTCTGCTTTTGTTCCCCCTCTGCTGCTTTGAGAATGAGGTCCAGCTCAGTATGACTTACGAAATGCAATTTCCATGTTTCTTTTAGAGGTTACCAGTAGTATTGTTGATTGTAATTGGTCAAGCAGATGTGACATCACATCACAACAAGGATGACTACAGTAAGCAAAACGCCCATCACCATTTTACTACAGAATCTGGATCAAACAGGACAACCCACACTTTAAAACAATGCAGAACACTGTTTGGACTAGCAGATATGTCAAGGCCCTCATTAATATGTGGTAAGGTGAGGCTCTGGGAAAGGGAACTGGTCTGGTTAGACATTAAAAAGTGCAGCAAATCAGAGATGGGGATACAACACACAGCCAAACGGTGCATGGCCCTTGATTCCCCATCACCATTTTATTTTGTGCATTAGGTTTATGTAAATCTGAAATTAAATCAATGTTACTTCTCACACTGTCTGTCCCATACCCACTTACTTCATTCTCCTAACAACCCACACAAAAAACTGACATGGACTGTTCCACTTTTGTCTTTTAAATAAGGCATATACAAAATGTTCCAGTTTTTTAAATACAGCAGAACGGCATTACAGAGCTTAGCGTCCAGGCTTTAGGAAGACAATCCAATATATCTTAGAAAAATAAGCTCTGGAGAAACAATGACCCCTCCCCTCAGGTAGCTCAATAGGCCCGTTTCCACCGCAGGAACTTCGGGGTAATTTTACGGGGCCGGGGCCGTTGGTGTGTGTCTCCACCGCAGGTACCACCCCCAAAGGACAGAGTTCTGGAACTTTTACGGGGGCTAAACAAGTCCCTGCCTCGGGGTAGGTACTCAGAACGGCCCCGAAAGACTCCTGGCTGGGGCTTGGGGATTACTTGGTGCTGACTGGATATACTCAAGGAGGGATGTGACGACAACAAA